AATGGATCAGTATTAGTTGCTGGTGGAGTGGGTCTTACTAGTACTGAATTGTACAATCCATTAACAGGCACATGGACAATCACAGGAACCATGAATAGCGTACGATATTATCACACAGCATCCACATTAGCAAATGGATTCGTATTAGCTGTTGGTGGAGCAAGCGGCACTGGTATTTTTGTCAATAGTACTGAATTGTACAATCCATCAACGGGCACTTGGACAATTTCAGGAAGTATGAGTATCGGACGAAAATCACATACAGCAACCATATTAGCAAATGGATCAGTATTAGTTACTGGTGGAACCAATGGTGTTAATCTTAATAGCGCTGAATTGTATAATCCATTAACAGGTACTTGGACAACCACAGGAAACCTAAATGTTGCACGATCTCTTCACACAGCAACCATATTAGCAAATGGATTAGTATTAGTTGCTGGTGGTACAAACAGCACTGGTGTTTATCTTAATAGTGCTGAATTGTACAATCCATCAACAGGCACTTGGACAACCACAGGAAGCATGAATGTTGCACGAGATTATCATACCGCATCTATATTAGCAAATGGACTAGTATTAGTTGTTGGTGGTACAAACAGCACTGGCGTTTTTCTCAATAGTACTGAATTGTATAATCCATCAACAGGTACTTGGACAACTTCAGGAAGCATGAATGTTGGTCGAGATATTCACACAGCATCTACATTAGCAAATGGAAAAGTATTAGTTGCTGGTGGATACGGCGGCGGTTATCTTAATATTGCTGAGCTTTATTAATCGATACAGACAGAATGACATTTTCTTTTTTGAACTGAATTATAATTTTTTTTAATATGTAATCAAACTATTTTAATCATGCACATTTCTTAATACAGTATCATTCACCAAATAATATATAAATTTTAGTATTATTTTGAAGTGATATTGTATGGCGATTATTGGAAAAGAGTTATAATTGATAAAAGACAGATCATTATTTATACAACTGAGTGGATATAAATACAGTGGTAAAGAATATTAATCATTCCTTATTACTAATCACATGTGATGGTGACGTATGAAATAATCGTTCCAAAGTGCATATCAGCAATGGACAACTATATAATATGTTCAAAAAAATCAACTTTTTACAATCATACTCTTTTTTGTCAAATAGTCTGATCAGATGTGATAGGATAGGTATGGATCTCATAAAAAGAACACCCACACCCATCTATTTATAATACTAAATAAAATTTTGTCTGGAATGAAGAAGTAATTATCGTTATATATTTAACTTGATATTATATTCATTGTGTAAACGAAAAGAAAAATGCTAAATGACGGACATCTATATATGCATTCAGTAACTGGTTAATTTACTTCACTTATTATAATCGATGGCAATCGATACGATATTTTTCTTTTTCTAATCTAATACGAACAGTGAACAATAAAAATCGTCGTTTTCCTCGATTGTAGTTTTTTTCGAAAGGCTAATCTTCATTAACAAATCATAATGTTGATCCTTACAAATTTAATTGACTTTGATAATACAAAATTTTAAAATTAGTTTTACATAGATCTATAGTTTGTCAATACTTATGTAGAAATTTTGTTTTTTTTCTAAGTAGAAAATGACTGTTTATATTCAATAAAATTGTATCTTTTTAGATGGCATCAAAAACAAAAAAGACAAAAGAATCAGCATCAGCTACTGTAAATTATGAAATCCAAATATCAATATTAGGTTTCATTATTGTTTTTTTTATAGGCATTACCAATTGTAACAGATCCAGAAATGGCGGAGCGTTTTGAGCGGGAACTAGCTTGGTGTGTTGGACAATTGGAATGTATGATGAGATCATCATCGATGAAAGATAAAGATCCTCGTAAGTTTTTATTGTTTAATTACATTTTTGTATTTTGATTGTAACTTTGAAACAATGAGAAAAGTTTAGAAAAAATTGAAAACAGTTCAGTGTAATGTTTTCATTGACGGTTAAGAGGCTCCATCGTTTTATACTTATATCTGAAAGATGAGATCAAACAATCTTAGTTCAAGCATTTTTTTTCTTTGGTAAGTTTGTATAAAACATAAAAATATAAAAAGTTGCCATGCGAATGTTACAGAACGGTTATTGTGAAGATATTCATAATTTGTTCAATAATAATACGAAGTTTATAAACAAAATATTTCTTTTTTTTATGTATTAAAAAATACATAATTTGAATCTTAAAATCTGTTGTAGCTCGATCGGCTTTGCAGACATTAACAAATCCTAAAACACCATTTATTCGTAAACGACAAATGATGCAACAATTATTTGGTGATTATCGTCAAAAAATGCATGATGAAGACATAGCTAGACAAAAACGTATGCCTCTGCACAATCTTTTATTTTTATTATAACAAAATAGAATTCTTTTTTTTTCTTTATTATTAGGTCACAATCAAATACGAGCAAATACCAATAGTGAAATTCCATTAGCTTCACGTTTTGTTCGTCGTATTCATCAGAATAATGATTCAACAAAGGACAATACATTTTCGTTTAATTTTAATATTCCATCATCAGATATGGATAAAAATTAATTTTTGTTATATGGTTATTCTAGATATGTCTGTTGAACAGAATCTTCTTATTAATATAGTCGATCAAATAGTATTACTTGATGAAAATTTCTCATCAAATGGTAAATTGAGATATTCATTTTTGTTGACATATCACCTTTTTTCTGTTGTATTATTGTATAGATTTAAATGCTATAGAAACATTTAAATCAGCGGCATCATCATCGAACTCATCAATTAATAGTTTATTACAAGTATGCTTTAAGAAAATTAGAAATATTTATTGAATGACTAAATCGCGATTATGAGAATAGTTGATGAATAATTATCTTGATAAAGCTTGAGATGTTCAAGGACAATTTTAGACAGATATTTAAATCTGCATATTTTCTACTTTTTACACTCACAGATGTCATCTGTTGACTGGTTGAGCTTTTTCTATGCAATTATTTATTGTTTTTTTCAAATATTTATACTATCGTCTAATGAATTATTTTTAAGATTTTACCGGTTTCAATTCAACGTCAAGTCAATGAATATTTAAATGAAATAATTGGACAACTTGTTCTTTGTACAGGTTTGTTTGCTATAATCCGTAAAATAAAACCGTTTTTATTTTTATTGAATGTTTTTCTTAGGTGTTAATATAAAATCTCAATTACCCAATACAATATCTCATATAATTAAAAGAATCATAACTAATCGAAAAGAAATAACAATAAAAAATGTTCAATTTGCAAAACAAATCAATGCTATAAATGATCTGTACTCAAAATTAAATACACAAATTCAAAATATTTGTATTGAACAATTAAAAATGATTAAAGCCAACGATTTAAATACAAGTCAAATTGATACACTTCGACAACAATATCAATTATTACTTAAACAAATACAGTAATTAATTCTTATCTTTAATTTTGATAACTAAATTTTCATTTTATAGATTACGTCGATGTGAATTTATTCGTGATATATATACAATGGATAATATTGAAATATTACAAAATATGAAGTAGAATAATAAATTAATTCTTTTTGTTTTTTTTTCTAATGAAATATTTTTTGTATTTAGATTAGATTACGAAGAAAAACAACATCTATATGATGAACAAATAAATCATATGAAAAAACTTGAAATAGCTATAAATAATGAAGGTGTACATTATCAACAATTAATTAAACGTTATTATGAATTATGTGATGAATCACTCAATGCTCAAAATGCTCTCAAACGACTTAAACAACAACGAGAAAATATTTCGATCTAAGAATATTTTTGCTCAAAAATCTATTTTTTTGTCCTTTTCATGTCAGATAAAAATAAATCAATGAATAAAATTAAATGTAAATCGATATGTGTTCAATTCTAAGATAATTTTTGTCTATTAGAAATATTTCATGTCTAAATAAAACATTGCAATACTAAATAATTAGCAAACAAAAAGGACACGTCAACAAATATTTTAGAATGGTTTATATGTTCACCAAGTATTCTGATGATTACCAAAATTTGTCGAAATAGTTTCGTATGTAAAAACATGAAGTCATTCATTCTTCTTATCAATAAGAAACATGAAATACTGAATACTGACATTTTGAAACTGTTAAGAAATTCCGATTTCTTTATAACAGTAAGAATAATTTAGCTCAATGCAAGCTGCAGAGTTAAAATACAATATATAAGTAAGTTTAATCAATTGGTTATATCTTCATTGTTCTTTAGCTTATTGTTGAAAACAAAATCATACAAAAATCGTTACTTTGTTCAACTTAATATTTCATATTTATTAAAAATGCAACAGTTCATCGTTTTAAATCGAACACATAAAAAATAAAAAAAAAGACAACATTTAATTTTCAACAATAGTAATTTTTTCGGTTTGTTTAATAATAGTATCAATATGACTTTCAAACCATTGAATATTTTCTACTTGAATCATAGCAGCATGAATAGCCAAGATACACCGTATAAGATCAGAAAAACATTTAACAGCTTGTTCATGATCATATTTATAGAGTATATATCGCCATGTGATTTCAATATATTTGTTTTGAGTATCTAAGATTTGTTTGATATTTGAGAAAATTAATGGAGGACTATTGGAATAAACTGTAATATTGATGGTTGAAAAACAAAGAGTAGCAAGAAATAATTTCATAACAACCGTATCAAGTTTAACTCGTTCTGCTACACGTTTCGCAATAGGTATTAGATCTACATTAGTAATTGATGCAAGAGTATTCAAATAGCCAATACAATCTGATAATCCAACCTGATGATACATATAATTAGCAGAAAGACTTGCTGTATGTTTTAGCGTCATGTGAAGTAAAACAGAACGATCGTTTGCAGATAACGATAGAAAATCTTGATTTTTATTGTATAACATATCAATATCGTCCAATGATGCTTGAATAAATTGAATTAACGGTGTAGCTTTAAAACGTAACTTAATAGGTAGAGAATTTTGTGTTTGCATGTAACGTTGACCGGCTGTTGTTCTACCATTTTCATTATAACAATTTGTCAAATTTGACAGAAGATTCCATTGATCAGCAGTTAATGTTGATTGATCTGATCGTAAAAGATTTAAAGTAGGAAACTAAATAATAAAAACAAAGAAAATATTAGTCAGAATTGATTTTATTTATTTCATTATAAATTAAAACGAAAATTTTTAAAATCGTCTTCATTAATAGTAAGTTAACATGACAAGCGATTTGTCTATTCAGTTTTATCCAATGGACTTTTTGTTTCATATGAGAAAGCACAGATCTTTTTTGAAATATAGATTCAAAAGTATCTTACCAAATTGATGGATTGTAATATTTATTGTTCTGAAAACAAGCGACTCGATTGTATTATTTATACAAAATATTTAAATAATACAAGCGAAAATAAAATTTGCACAACGTGTGTTTTCGACGATCATTTTAAAATCTTTAGCATTCTCTTATTGTAACTATTGCTCACCTAGAATAAAAAAAACTAATATGATTTCAATGCATAGATTGATAAATCAAATAAGTTTAGTTGAATTCTAATGATCATATAAAATATTTGACTCCATTAAGAACTTATTTAGTGAAATGGATTGAATCTAAACATGACAATATCTTGACCTACTTTTATTAGCACCAAACAAAATTCAAATCGCTAAGAAAATAAACAGAATCTGAGTTTCCAAAGAAAAAAACCTTACAATGCTTTTTTAATGTTTGTACCTTCAATATCTCATAGAACTATTTCATCATATTGAGTATCTAATCACCTTTGTACTTCATATAAAGATCTAACAGTTTCATTAGAAGATCATATATGATTGAGAAAATATAATAAACCAATCCTCAAATGTTTATGTTACGCTAAAAGTAATCATACCTGCTTTGACTCATTTAATCGGACTAAAGCCATTGAATTTCTTTCTGCTAAATCTTCATTAACATTTTTTTCACGTTTTCTTTTTCGTTTATTTGATAAAGAACGTCGAATTTTTTCCGCTTCCATTCCACTTGTAAAACATTTTTGAAGTCGACAATAAGAACATACATGACGATTGTTTAAATTTATTTCGCAATTTTTATTATAATTGCATTGGAGTGTATTCTGAAAGAAAAACAAAAGATAAATGCACTTAAAAAAAAAGAATATATTTTCAATTGACCTGTCCTTGTTCAGCATTTCGTTTAAAAAACATTTTACATGGTTGACATGATACAATACCGAAATACGAATATTTTGCCGATGCCCCACAAATTTTGCACTCAACAGCTGCCGCGTTCACTTGTTTCTCACTGCTTCTGGGTTCATTGTATGACATTTTTTTTTATTATATAATACGTTTTTGTTTGACTAAATCTAGGAAAAAAAAATAAATAAGCGACATATAGTTAAAATATTATGTACAATATAGATCATTTTGTCTATATTATATTTGATTTTTAATGTAAATTATAACTCTAATAGTATTCTACATTTGTCTTATGTCTATGAGAGAGAAACATTCAGGTCGTAAAAACACGAGGACAATAAGAAGAGAAAAGAAAGAAAAAAGAGAAAAACAAAATTTTTCTCTTTCGTTCTGTGGAGAACGAAGATACACCGGGAAATAAAAGTTATTATTAATCGGGTAAAAAAAAGCCCTTTTTTATATTGCGTAGATAAATGTAAGCACTAAATGTAACCTCTATGTAACCTTGAAGATACGTAGAGAAGAGAATCTATTTTTTTTACATAACTCTATGAAAGCTTTATTTCTTATCAAATTAAATTCAACGATATACTAATAAAATAAATAAATAAATAAAAATTATCAAAGTTTTAATATTAAAGTTAAATATGTAAATCTTATAAGGAAATAAATATTTTCCGCATCAAATAAATTGTTTTGCGTGAAGATAAAAACAATCATAATTATTCTATTGAATGTTTAATATATTATTGTATTTGTATTTATTTAAACGATTCAAATGTGATTAAAAACTTTAAAAAAAATCTTTAAAATATTATAAAGTCATTTCTTATTTTAATACCTATATATTTTAGGATAAGCTCATTTTTTCTAAAATATTGATGTAATTTTTTTTATTCAAACTTGTTTTTATCTATTAGTATTGAAGCATTCAATATCATATAGGTATATTCAATTACAACAGAAAATGAAAATATTTCAACAATGAGAAAAACAAGATGCATGATCTGCTGAAGAAAAGAATCTATTATGTTGAAGTATTGTTATGCTGTCAGATACTCGAAACCGAACTAAAGTAAAGCATATGTGTGTATGAGTATAAGTTATTGAGTTAGTTTTAGTAATGCGTGAGGAAAATATATCAATTTAGCTGTTAACCCTTAAGAACCGAATGGCCCTTTCAGACAACGTTGTATTAATTACTATAAAACGAAGCAAAAAAATCATATATACAAAAGTTACTAAACCACCCCATAAATGTTTAACCCATCTGTTGATGTATTTTGACGTTGTGAAAAAATGCCTTTTTAAGGAAATGCTTGCTCAATAATAGTCAAAGATATTTTAAATTTTTTCCTCAATAAATAATATAAAATCTATTAGAATTTCATTAAAATGAGCTTTCGGTTACTTTGAATCGTATTAGAGACCGCCGCGGGCGAGAGATAAAGATAATAACGCTGTACTCCATCACGTAGGTGGAAATTTTTTTTGACGACATCCAACATATTTAACTGCAGTATGGGCATATTAAAAGCCCTCAATCTCTATTTCTATAATTAGTTCTCCTTCAGTTCCAAAAGCAAACCCTTTGGCTTTTAATGGTTAAGTATGATATAAAATATTCATCCTTGACTACCAATATTTTATACGAAAAAAGTAGATCACAAAAATTAAAAATTATTTTGTTTTTGGTAATAATATAAAATTCATTTTGATTTAAACTATCGTCAGTACAATAACTTCTGGTAGAAAAAAAACAAGAGATTATTTGAAGATATATGTAAAACTATAATTAATATTATAAGAATATTAATTAAACTCTTAGTCAGTCCATACTTTTGTTTCATTAGGTAAGTTTAGATAATTTATTAGAGTAATTTCTTAAGAACTTTTCATTTAGATAAGACTATAAATCAAAGAAAAGAATTGTTACGACAATATATACGTAAAGACTAGTGTCATGTTCATTCTTGTTTTTATCTCTATTTTCTTTTCAGTATATATCATGTACTACATGACTTATTTATCTTTTCGACTTTTGTTTTTATATATTTCTAATAATGAATCTTTGTTATACAACCACAGTCATCGTTAGTTACCCTTGTTTTCATTGTAATCCATAAATGTCTTCGAAAAACGGAAGAATTATTTATGTTGATGTCTGAATAATCATAAATATAAAACACTATCCTTATTTTTATCATGATTTTCATTATCTTTCAGAAGCAGTCTGTAACAGTGAAGCCTGGAACAAGGATGTGAATGATTTCTAGAAGAATACCAGATAAAAATATCTTCAGATTAATAAATGCACTGATGTTTTTTTTTCATGTCTTTTGCACACATCTTACACAATTACCTTTATTTACATATATTTTTATAAGGAATAAAGATGAATATGTGAATGTTTTCCTTTTGCGTAAAAAATATATAATCATTCGAACAGAGTATTAAACAATTAAATCTGTATCATTTTTTTCCTTGCTATTAAAAAAATGTTATTATACGAACAAATATTTTTGAGTATAAAAGGGTCATAGTCTTAGGTTGTCAAGATCATCACATGCTGCTATTCTGTCTGATAATAAATGATAAGAAAAATGTATTTCTTGTTTAAACTGAATAACACATAGATATAATAAATAATCATATTTAATATTATTAATATAGTTTTCTTCTCTTATATATAGAATTAAATGTTAAAATTTTTACAAAATAAAACATGCCTAAGAAATCATGATGAAAATTTCTATAAAAGCGTTTTTTTTTCAACTTTCTTCCAATGATGAATAATTTACGACACATCAACCTTTGAATAACAAAAACAAAAGGTAGATAAGCCACAAGTACAATATAATCAAAGATTTCTTTTCTGTCTTTTATTTAAGTAAACAGACATTTGGTAATGTAAGATGACAATGAATACTAACAATGAGTTATCAACAGATATTATTAATTTGATAAATACAACGGTAACAGATGGATATAATACTGGTTCAACACAATCTATGCCTAAGAATGATTTAAAATATATATTATTTTATACAATACCATTATCATGTTTAGTAATTATTTTTATCATTATTACCATTATTCGTCAACGTCATCGTGTTCTAGATAAATGGACATCATTAAAACGTATGAGAAATACGAATCCAAGATTTCTTCGAAGTGTTGGTTTACGACGTGATTCAGAATTTGATTCATTTAATCAAGAACATGTACATTCAATATTAAGAAATCAAGAAAATTCATTTAATAATGAACCACAATATCAATTAGCAACTATTACTTGATATTGAAATATAGTTTAATGTACTTATAATGTTAATCTCTTTCACATTATTCTTATGTATTTATTACGGGTAATTTCTAAGAAAAATTCTATAATAAATAATTTTTTTTTCGAAATCAATATCACAACTAGCGATAAAGAATAAATAGGTTTATATAAACATAACCTTGCTGATTTGTTTTTATTTACATACTAGCATTGAGTTCATTCATAACGAGTATTCAAGAAAATATGTATGAACAATCTATCAAAACTTTGCAACACATCATATATGGCTTAAAGATATGCATAGAATGACTCTGTTACATATTCTCATTTATCATATAGTAATAAGTTCTGTAATTAGCTCAAAAATTTGAAGGTAAATGTATGTAATATCTAAAACATAATATAAATATCCAGTACATATTATCTAAAAAATTATAAACCCCTCATGTTATGAAATCGTTCCTTTATTAGCATTATATTATTATTTAATGATGCGTATTCATATGATCAAAATATAAAAAGGTAACATATACATAATTTTCTTCATCGAGGAACATACTTCATTATGGGTTACCGAGTATCAAAAACAAATTTAACACCTGATGAAATAGAATATTTATCAAATGTACTTGATTTAATGTCTGAAGAAATTATGCGTTGATATAAATAATTTATGCATGATTGTTCTATTGACACACTAGGTCATAATAGTTTTCATAAATTATTACATCATAGTGAACCGTAACAAATAGAGTTTGTTGTTGATTGTAATTTTTTCTTTAAATCAACTGGAGTAAATTATATGATATTATGGAATTTAATGAATTAATATTTGCTATACAAAAAATGTTGAAATACTTGATCGACGTATTATAGAAGAAGAGTTTGTTGCCGGATATTTATTTAATCCAACAATTGCTTCTTTACTTGAATCGTTTGTTTGCAAAAAAGAAAAGATAAATTTAAATAAGCACAGTAATATAAAAAAGACAAAAGACATAAATTCACTGTTTCTATACATAGACAATGACTATATATATATGTATATATATTGAATCAAATAGTAAATGATTCATTAAGATTAAGTGTTATAGGTAAAATTTCTGGCATAACTGAATGATGTGTTAAAAGTGATAGAAGCGTAGGAAATTGTTTAATCGTTCCTTTTATACGATAACTAGGATTATTATCCACAACAGTTTTTTCAATAAGATAATGAACTATATTTGAATCATGCGTAAATTTTGGAACTTTTATTGATAATGCATAACAATTTGTATGTGTCGTGCTATTACGTAGAATAAATGTACCATAATCAGCTTGTTGAAGAACATCACATACTGCTCCTCTAAAATAATAATTACACGAAAATATAGAATAATTTTAGATAATATTTTTTTTCGAATTACCTTTCTAGATATGGTTTATACCAACGTGCTATTGACGTTAAATCATCTGTAGTAGTGGTAATAGTAGTAAGTCTAGAAAAAGAAATAATTAAATAAATAAATTTAATATCGTTTTTTTGATATGAGATTGTATCAGTTCGTAAATTGGAAAATATTGTCGTGCTAACAAGTTAAAAATAGAAGAACATGTACACAAACCTTTTTACATTTGCTTGTTTATTCACTAATTGTGTTTGTTGTTGTTGTTGATAATAATATTCATCTTTATAATCATTAATTTTCAATCTAGATTTTTTTGGTATTGGTGGTGGTGGTGATGATGGATATATTGTCATTGTCGAATGATATGTATTATTACATGTACATTGATTATGAATTTCATTCTCAGTTTTATTTATATGTGTTACAGGTTGATGAGAAATATAAGAACGAGATGAATGTGTGAAAAATTTACGTTCTTGTTGATTTGGTAAACATGTTGTTGATAATGATGATGATGATGGACGACATGTACATGTTAAACAACGTCTATTTATTGAATCTTGTCCTGTTAAATTCACCGGTATTAATGTACATGATATTAAATGTACAGGAATAAGTTTTGGTGATGATACAGGTATATCACTATAACCTGAATCCGTTGATATTGATGATACATTTGTTGTACGACGTGGTATACGACGAGAAAAATATCCTCCCTGTTGTTGATTATTATTACTGTCATTAAATAGATATTTTATACTTTCTAATGGATCATCATCTTGTTTTGATGATTCATCAGGTACATCAAAATCAATATAATCAACAATTGAAAGAGATTTTTTGAAATTCAGAAACAAATGATGTTGTTGGTATTCGTTTTTGTTGTTGTTGTTGTTGACATATACATTGACATGTCGGCGGAATTGAAATATTTGGATCATGATATCGATAGATAACTTGAGATTTATTACAGAAATTAAGATGTAATTGGTCGGAGTTTGATAATAATTTTGAATTAGATTGATATTGTTGATTAGTATTCTGTTGAGTAATATTATCAAGCTATAATAAACGAGATAAGATGAAAATAAAATAACTAGAAATAATTACTTACTTTTGCTTTTATCTCTAATGGAGATAGATAGCCATCTTCATCGAAATTCTTCTGAGAATTATGTAATAATTGCTGAGAAGAATGTGTTTTTATTTCAGGTTTTTTAGTTAATTCATTGCATATTTCATGATTTCTTTCTGTAGACAATGTATTACGACGTGGTCGATGAAGAGTTATTAAGCGTCGAGCCTATTAAAAATAATATTATTTTAATATGTAAAAACCAAAAAAAAAATGATTTCTTTACCCAATCTCTACTCTTCTCTAATAAACTTATTCGTCGTTTAATTGAACGTGTGGAACTTGGTAGGAGAAGTTTATCATTGAAATCTAAAGTTTTTGCTTCTTTATCAGTAAGAAGCATTGACGTTGGTTGTGATAATCGAGTAGATATTGGAAAATTATTTGTATATATCATTGATAAGAAATATTAATATTAAAATTAAAATTTCTTCTCCTCTTGTTCTTCTCTTATGATTATTCTTTGAATTTGAAAAAAAGAAATGATGGTGTTTTTAATAAATCATTCAATGACATTGAGATACCATCATCTGAAAAAAAAAAATAACAACAAAACTGAAAATAAATATGCTCTGATATACATATCGATGATGATGATGATAATGTCATCAGCATCGTCTCTATCAATATCTATAATATATATGTGTAAATGCGTGTAATTATCAACAAGATCAATAGATAGATCATACTGAATGTTACTGAACGATTATCATATGATGTAAGAATTCTTTACTTTTGCTAAGGCAAAATGAAACATGCAGAGAATGTACATATAAAGAGAAGCGCACACGACAGGCGGCAACCTTCATTCAAGGACAATAAAAGTAAACGTAGCAATCGGTGTTGATCGATATAGTCCTATATATATACGTAGACAGTTGTAAAGAAGTGTTAATGTACTTTCTAGGGATAGATGTCCTAGGAAAAGGCGTCAAACTTGTCAATTAATATTTGGACATCAGAAAGGTCATTACTCGTCGAAATTATCATCAACTGTAAGCAAAGAGAGAGAGAGAGAGAGAAAAAGTAAATGACAATGAATAACCATCATTACTTTTCATGGGAAGCTAAAATTCTATTAACCTTTTGAACCTTTGTGTGAGTTACACTATAGAACACACAATTCACTAGTCATAGTAAGGATGATGATAATAATAATAATCATAACAATAGAGAAATATGAAGGAAAAAAGATTTGTCTCGCCGTCTATATAGATGTATAGTAGCATAGAATCATTTACTAGTGTGATAAATAAAGATTGACATTTTGATAAATAAAAAAGACCTTGAGCATTTGAATAAATTAATATATATGACAGTGAACCTCGATAGAATTTATAAAAGGATTTAAGATATGTTGTTCAAAAAAAAATTCAAGTACTTTTACTTTTCTTCTATGTTCGTGTTGATAGACATATAATGTCCTTGTGAAAAAGTAAAAGTGAAAAGGTGCGATTGAATTATTCTATTAACGTATGTAAATTCAATATTTTATCATATTAAAAAACTGAATATTTAATAAAGAACTGTAATGAATAATATAGAGAAAAGCAAAAAAAAAATAGACTTCAATTGTCAATAGGAAGGATATTTTGTGATGTAGTAGTGATAATATTGATAGATCTTAATATATACTTACATATACACCTTGTATATACATATCTATATCCACGTAGAAATCAATTACATTGATCTCAATCTATATACTACATAGATCTAAGTGAATAGATGTAGATAAAGAAGAAGCATGTCCCCAAAAGGCGACGATCAATACCCGAATATTGATTGCGAAGTAGTATGATGATGTAAGTATGAATGAAAAAATGTTCAGGTACATACTTGTACATTAAACTCATCATCTTCAATATATATCATGAGAAATAAATGGTCACTACGTGCATTGTAGAACGATATTTGACAACGCGTCTTATCTATTAGTAGGCTTCATCTACGCATCAGTTTAATTACCTGACAATACGGCTCGATAACGGATTCTTATATATATATATATTTACTATAAGAATGAAAAGACTTCTAGTCAACATAATTTTATAGTTAGATCATCACCTATGTGTATTGATGGTGTCCTTTACTTTTTTTTTCTCATCGTACTTCTCTATTTTCGATACTCACTAGTTATAAGTTAAAAAATATAAAATAAACAATCATATAAATCTATTTTCACTTTATTTATAAGCTTATGAAAGACAAATTTGTTATTAATATCCATTTTTTTTCGATTAAAATTTCAATGGGTAATTGATCAAAAAAGAACATGATATTCCCCCTGTATAATCAACGGTTAATCAACAATACATGAAAACTGATAAGCCTCGTTCTTTTACCTATTTACTACGTAAAAAATATATATAATATAAAAGAAGGATAATGATCAACGAAAACGAATAATCAATACTTATTCGTAAAAGAAAAAAACTTCAGTCGTCTCACATACACATACACGTCTATAGTGACAACAAATACGATGTGATGATCGCTACTTTCTCTTTCTCTTATAAGCTTCGTGTAACCGAAAGAGCAAAAGAAGAAAAAAAAAGAACAAACTTGACTGGACATCACGCACTTTGTATAACTTACGGTTAGAGAAAGGAAATATAAAAGAAAGTGGAATAAATATAAAACAAAACACTTATTTTCACTTATTGCTCCCTTTTTTTCTGCTTGTTGTTAGCTACTAGGAGGCAAACAAACATATATGCTAGTTAAAATCATGACGATTAATTTATCGTTATGCAAAAAAATATATGAAACAATACGCTTACCCTATTTTGTACACGTAATCGATATTACAAATAGAACCAAGCAAACACATACACATACACATACATACATATATCTATACAACCTACACAAACTAATTGTAAGATTATTACTACTATATGACCGATATGTAAATCAGTCGATAGCGTGTATATATGCAATTTCTTTTTTGTATTTACATGGTCTAGCTAGACACTTGAATGAGCATCCTTTCTCGCGTACTTTTTCTTCTTTTCTTTCCTCTTTCCATCCTAATGAGTTGACCACCAAATGTGTTAGACAGTTAGATGCATAAGATGAGCTATATTAGGTTATCTTATTACTTAACAAAATAATTGATGATATAAATGGTTTGTAGATATACATAAACTGTTTCTCTATTTCTCTGTCGTTTGCCATCAATAACATAAGAAAAACACAAAATAAGATGTAAAGAAGTAGAGAAAATAGAGAATGAGTAAATAGCATATATATATATATATCTATACATATATATATGTATATAATTAGCCTTGGTAACAGTAATTGTAGTAGTGAGAAGGTCGATCTATGCCCATAAAATATTCTATCTAATGATGTCTGTCAAGCGTGGGAGAAAAAGGAGTGTCAATAATAACATTGATGATATAGTATGTTATTTCAATTATGCGTATCAATATACTTGACTTCATAGTCTTAGTTTAAGTCATTCGTAGACAAGCATCAATATTAAGAAATCGATCAATCATGATCGATCGATTTGAACCTCTTGATATGTGGATTGTATAAAAGTAAACGAAATGAGACATATATGCATTTCATCAAGGTATGATCTTAACTTCAATTGACATGTGCAATTTAATAAATCAAGCATTACTTTTAAAACTTGTAAATATGTTCATGGAAATCAACGACATATAATAATAATAATAATAATAGCCTAGGAAATTCAATTAATTTCTATTTGTCAATCATTCAATGACAATATTATATTCATATGATTATCAGCAGAAATGATATTGTATCTGTCTGGAAAAAGAAATAATGTCTATGGAATGATAAATTGATAATACAATCGCTTTTGGTTATAGTTACTTAATAACAGTCTACAATGATTTATATAACTACACATATGTGAAACGTCAAAGATTCTATTGATATTCATGAAAATTGTCGATTTTTTTTCAGTATTGTGTAATACTAATTTTTACGTTATTTGAATCGAGAGATCTATTATTTATATGAAACTTACACTTTAATTGAATCATTTGATAAAATGAACAGAACGCATTATTTATATAATGTTCATTATTATTCTATCAATCGATGATAATAGACAATTACTAATCTAAACATGTTACTTGATATGGAACATATCATATGTCCAAAAAATACAACACAACTTTATTAAGAAGTGATAACATATTATATATATAGAACACTATTAAAAAAAAGAAAATATTGATAATAAAACAGTATTTATTGTTGGAATTTTTAGATTGACATAACATTTTGCTTTTTATATAAAATAAAAGTGTCTAAATAGTTGTTCTCTTCGTATATTTTGAAGAATATTCCTTGTCTAATAAACGATTAGGTTTATTTGTACTTGGTATATTTGTCATTTGATAATCAGATGAAACTCGATAATATTTGTCGCATAGAAAATATCGATGATAGAAAATTTTTAATTGAGTTGAACATTGATTAAATGTTTCAATTGTTGCTTCACGAAATCGTCGACCAGTAAAACAATAAAATATAAAATTTGTCTAAAAAAAATAAAAAAATAAATAATGTTTTTTTTTCGTTTTCGATAACTTACAGCATGATGTAATTGTAATAGAAGAACAGATGTTTGAGTAAAGAAAAAAGAACGTTTAAGTTTATTTATTTCAGGATGTTTTGGTGGCGTATATTCGCCTATGAAAAAAATTAATGCTGGCGTTGAAAATAAATAAAAAGTAAAATTAACTGTAACAAGCATAATAGTTAATTGTCGTTGTTTACGATTTGAATGAACATCGTTAACACGAAGTTCGAATTTATCATCATTTGATAATCGTTTTTGTTGTCTACGTCGTTGAATTAAAGAATAAACAGTAAATAAATTTGATAAAAGTAAAATATCTGGTAGAACATAGAATACAATTGGTTGATATATCCGATGAATTAATCCGAATGCTGGACGAATTTTACATTTTGCTCGTTTTGAAGTTACGTCTGTATGATAAATTATCGGAAATGTTGCAGAAAATAATAGAATTGCTATTGATATAAGAATATATACAGAATAACGTGCCGAATGAACAGTACAAAAACGTTTAGCAAGAAATGGAGAAGCAACAGCAACACAACGTTCTATATAAGAAAAAAAAAAATGATGTTATTTATTTTCTATATTATTTTTCCTAAGAAATTTAGTAAAATATGATAAAAACAAAATTCTCTTTAGATCTCAAATAACATTCTTTTATTGATATGATGAATAACTCAATAGATAAATGTTGAGGTCTTTTTTTCTTTCTAGTGAATACTTATATGTATTAAATATTTGGATAGTTAATTATGACAGATATTATCTTATCCTTCTGACTACCAAATTCTTTTTTGATGAATTGAATTCAAATAAACCGTTAAACTACCTTACGCTAGACATAAGAGCAGATGTCAAACATATCTTATGTTTTTTCGGATGTGATTTGCTCAATGTAAGTTACATTGAAATTTTCCTAATCGACTCTCCCTAAGCAATCCACTTCGGAAGGCTCCGACGATTTCACGAAATCTACGGGAAGTTTAATAAAATTTTTCGTGCATTCCTAGCCGAGAACCTCAAAAAATGAAAAGTTGTTGAAAATTGCAAAAAAATTCCTTGAGACTTCTTAGAAAATCGACGGAGATTTCATCATATTATCAGAACCCTCTGCGGTGCTGCTTACGGAGAGTCGACTTATGTTCTTATACTTGAATAGAAACGTTAACTCCTGAAGTTTATTAATTGCAAATCTCAGACATTCCGAAAGAATTCTCAAAACCATAATGTCATTACTCCTTATAATAAATTATAAACTAATTGTTCTGAATAACTCTATCAAGAATATTAACAAACCAGGTATAGCTCTTATTATACTATGGCAGTCAAACGGTTAATTAGTTTAAAAAAATTTTTAAGATTAATAAATAACTTGATTACCTAATGTTATAATAACTAAAACCCAATTTGCACAAATACTAAATAAATCCGTTAAATATATTAATGAACAATGAATAAAAAGATTTCGACGTGGTTGTGCTAAACTTGCACAATGAAGAAGAAGAACTGCACTATCGAATATTGCCATATATGTTATATATACAGCTGATGAAGTATTTCGTAATGATTTTTTATTAATAACAATTAATGCAAGCATATTTCCAAATATCCCACTTATTGAAACAAATGATTGAACAAATATAAGAATAAAATTCAATTTTGCTACATATTGATTTATTTCATTTCGAATATAATCATCTGAGTTTAATGCTAATGTTGTATTATTGCCGATTAATATTGCCATATTATCTAAATGGATTTCTTTTTTGAAATAAGATTTATTATAATATCAAACAATCTGCATATCGAAGATACGAATATGATTCATCAATGTATTAATGAATACTGAACTAGAGCTATTCACTTTCAAAATGGTTACATTCTTCAAGAAAATTTCTAGTGATGCAAAAAAAAAAATAATGAGCTCAATTATCATGAGATTTTCCTTGTTTTTTTTTTCTTAAATGTAGAGCATGTAGTATAAATGTTTTAACTGACTACTATCATCAAGACTAATGCATCAACGAATGAAAGCCCTGTGGACATACTATTAACGGAATACATCAATTTCGTTATATATTGCACGATTAAAAACCTATCTATAGAGCAAGGAAAAGCAGGAAAGATCGATAGAGAAACATATTATTAATGATAATATGTGACCGCATAGATCTTAAAAGGAAACAAGTGGATTATATCGTGTAAATACAATGATTTGACATATTATCTGAGATAAATATATAAAAGATAAAAAAAACGGTCAAAAATATTTTTGTCAATACTGATAAGTAGGCAATAGAGAGTTTATATTAATCGTATGAAAATATAAATATATAAACAGATATATATCTTTATTTACGTATATATACGATATTTTAGAAGTCATACTATGAAATAAATATATCTAATTATTCTATCGATCAGATGTACTCAACTATTTTCTTTTAAAATATGATTGATAAGCTTAGAAATCGAGAACGAATGAGACTATTACATCGACATCCGTTTTTATCCCTATAGGCTATGATAAGCAATTTTGTGTCAGTGATAGTTTCTGTATTGGTAGAGCAAAGAAGATAAAAACATACAAGTAATTATGGAAGACAGTTTAAATCAGTCTTTGCATACATTGTATAATGCTTAATTATTGTTTTCGGTCTACCGCTAAAGGTTAAACGTATAATTATAAATAGATCTAAGTTAGAATATATATTTCTATGTAAATAAAACTACGCATTTGTTTTAAAATTCATTATATAAGACAAACTATATTAGTCAATATTACTTACTTTTGTTGATTAATAAATATTTAATATTTGAGAAAATCGTTAATTACTTCCTATTAAAATAATAAGAAATGAATATTATTCATTCTTACATAGAGATTCAACAGTTACTAATGAGAATATACTTACGCATTTAATTGGTTCGGTTTATGCACTGTCATCTTCTTTGATGAATTGTTATATATACAAAAGTCTAAAATAGAAAATTAATTATTAATCCGTCGAGTTACTTAATTTGAGTATTTCGTCTTTGAAAAAGGATAAAAACTCATTAGAATCTTAGAGATAATATGCAAGTTTCTCTTAAAAATAATGGTTTTTTTTTCCTTATTTAATCTCTATCTTATATAAAACATATATATCTGAATCTCTTGTCAAGAACATCTTTTGAGAGTATCTCATTCTTAACAAGAATAACCATTATTATGTAGTCATATACTTAACTAAAGAATACTTAGATGAATATGATATGAAAAAGTTTGATACAAGAAATGAACCGGAAGTTCAAAAAAAATAATTATCATACATCGAGTTGTTTCTACTTTCTAGCTTTTCTTCTTCAATGATGAAAAGATTTTCTCGTGAAAATTATAAAATTCCACAACTTTTTATTAAAAGATTTAGATAAGGTAAGAAAGAAGAATTCATTATTACCTTAACTGTATTATCTCGATATGTTAAGAAAGATATAATTACAAAAAAAACATATATAATCTTACTCAAAAGTTATTTTTATCTATGAGTGCATTTCAAAATACTCTCCTATTCTTTAAATATGATATTTTTATTAACGTGGTAGTAAAACTTTAAACTTGAATTTTATCACGTACTTTACTAACGTTTTAATGAAAGGAATTTAAAAAACATTTAGCGTACTATAATGAGAACGATAAAGATAATGAAATTCGAAAGAGTACAACGTTTCCAGTACTTGATGGATTAGATAATAAATATCCGATTTTTATAAACCTCTTATCATGTCTCTATTTTTCTGACTAATAAAATTAGTAAACTAGTTCTTTATTGAAATACGAGTTACTAAAAATCAAAACTAATCATTAAAAAATGCGAAGATTTACTACAGCTCATCGAACTGCTCTTTTGATAGTGCTGTATTGGATTCTACTGATTCCTAGATCTTAATTATAATCAAAGACTAAAAAGCATTCAAAAGAAATTTCGCAGTAGAAACTACCTTCAACACATAATCATGTATACAACATAAAAATCTGAGAACATTCTAATACACAATTATACGATATACTTGTGGATTGATATATAAAAAAAAACAAGTCTATTTATATACTTGTTGTTGAAAAATATAGGAGACTGATAATAAGATTATATCACTGAAAAAGATATTTTTATTTCCTCTCGTCTCTTTCAGTTAACCAGATACATACATGTCAGATGCAGAATACAACAAAATTTATTCATGATTTTCTTTTCAAGGGAATGTCAAAACCAAAAAACTGATAATTATACAATGACGAAGAATGTCATAAACATTCTCAAAATATTTATGATTCATCTAACTCAAATGATGATTTTTATAATTATAATACTCGTTTCTTTATCAGTCTATTACTAATGTACATGACGAAATTTATTAGATTACTTGTAACAAACAAAAAGAAGATAAATAGAGCGAAATAATATGATTATTATCATAATAGCAATAAAAAAATCCAATAAAATATTAATATTTGTCCGATAAGAATATATTCTAGGTTTTCATATAAAATACGCGTAACAAATACCTGACATGCTTCGAAATATGAAAGTATAATTTCTTTTTTTCTTTCTGTAAAAAAACTATTAAGCAATATAAGAATACATACTAGTCATGATGTATCAGCAAATTTGATGAAAAAAAAAACAAGAATATAATCTCAATGTAAAACGAGCAAATCGATAGTAAAGTAACAGAAGAGAAAAGAACAAAGCGACTGTAGTCAGTAGAATAAACGTAACGATAAATAATAATTTGCTATCTCGTCACAACATCGACTATACTGCAGTTAAGATTTATTCTGATTATAACATAAGTTGAAAAGAATCATTTGACAAAAAATGTCCAATATCATTATTGATATTACAAAATAAGCCGTACGAATGTTAATCAACATATACCAAATGGAATGATAAACATGTTGTTTTCATCTGTGTTGATTCGAGAAGAGGAATTTTATTATCAAATACGTAATGAAATTCAACGTTTTTATTTTTGCATACAGCAAAAGACTAGGTCACAATCTATGTTTATTTTTACATATGAAATACTACAAAGATTTTATCTATTTGACTTTACGTGTATATGATATTGAGTTTCTAATAATGTGCATTTTGTTTGTGAGGTACTAATGGCTAATTATTACTAAGAGCGAATGTGCTTGAAATATCAATTTTGATTTATTTCGACTCATACATCAAGAGTATTGTATTATTCTAATTCAAGATAATAAACAAAACTTATACAGATCATATTATGTTGAAGATTCACTTTTCAAGGTAGTTTCTTTATTTATTACTGATTAAATAATTGAAAATATTTTCAATTAAAATAAAATATTGCGCATACAATCTGATGAAGACATGTCTGCAATAGACTGTTCCATCGTCATTGAACTATATGTCAAAACAGGTCATATGAGTTAAAAAAAGACAGTTTTTGTACTTTCAGAATGATAATGATTTATATATGCGTCATTTCTGTTTTCGAACTTATCTAATTATTTAGTAGTTTATGATATATAACAAAATAATTAGTGAAATTAAAAGTTCGTATTGAATTTGAACTATAATTTCAATAAATTTCCTTGATAAAGTACATTGAGGGCATATAACACAATCTTTTTCTTAATATTTCATGATGTATATAGTTATACTTAGTATATAAATTGTCGTGTATTAGTCATATAGGATAATCTGTTTGGGTCTCTCCAATAACATGATGACGTCAACAGTTTAATAAAAAGTTTTTTTTCTCAACTATAAATAAATCTTGAACTATTTAATAGATCCAAGACATTTACATCATTCACATAGACAATTAAAATTTATTCAACGTTAATTCTAACTGCACATGTGATTGTAGAAAAAATATCTGTAGTACAGCTCTTGTGGCGCAATTGGTTAGCGCGTTCGGCTGTTAACCGGAAGGTTGGTGGTTCAAGCCCACCCAGGAGCGTAATTTTTTACTTTTGTTTTTTTTGTTTATTATTCTTATGAAAAAAATGAATTTAAAATAATGCTAATTAAATGAAGTCGTAACTCTAGAATATCTGTGATTCCTCATCGATTATGAAGTTGCTATATAATTTAACTACCATTAAACCTTGGTTTATCATATACACTTATAATACTTTTTAGAATGTATTTAGTTAGTTGTATAGAAACTAGTAATAATGTTTACTCGAGTTATATATAACACTTTAGATGATATCATACTAACTTATTCATTAAGTATTGTTCATCGATATTTTAATTTTATTTCCATAATTAGTACATATTACTTTTAATATTGTTAATAATAATTCTGTATGCAACTTTATCACATATTGTCAAATATTTCATGTGTTTATTGAATAAATTAATTTTATGTAAATGAATAATAAGATTTAAAAAATTCATGTTTTTTTTATTGGAATCAAATGGGAGCATTATATAGAGAAAAGATATATTTGAAGACAGTTTTTAGTAAATGAAAGACGGTATTAACGTTTTCCTGTTTAAAATTTAGTTGTTTGTAGTTGTGGAGTTTTGTATGAAAACGCGTTGGCTTTCGTTGTTGTTGGATGAATTTGTGCTCGACTAGATACTTCGAAGCGTATGATTTTTCTCAAATGCATCCAAAGTTTTTTCCATGATTGCCAAAAACGAACATCTAATGCGGCAATAATAATTGGATCTAAGGCTATTTCAATAAAATTAAGTGTTCTAGCAATACTTGTTGCATTTCCACCACTTGATACTTGAAAAACAATAATATTTGGTGACCATAGTCCCACCCAGATAATATAAAAAATAAGAAATTGAATAACTAATGATCGATTATATTTCTCACGAGCAGAAACATGATGTTGTGTTCGTTGTAAATTTGATGTTAAACGAATATGACGAACACTAGCATAAATGATTAAAATATTGAGAAAGATAGGAAGTGCAAATGCAGTAATAATATTAAATATCTGAATATACAGATTTGTATAAATAACTTGACATGAACCCCCAATAACTACTTGTACTTGAGTCCATCCACATATAAATTGTATGAATAAAGATATAAATGGCATTAAATAGATACTTATATGAGCTAACGTTAAAAGAATTGTATGATGTTTATAAACATTTCGATTGTATGCTATTTGTACATAACGACATACATTTAAAGCTAATAGAACATATACTTCAACTATATTAAGATAATTATCGACTGCTGCTTCAAAGTAGCAGATAAATAAAAACCACGCTTTATTTGGTTGACAATCAGTAGATATTGTATGAATAATATAAGTGAAGAAAAATCGAAGAAGTAGAAGAGCATCAGCAATAAGATACGCATAAATCCATTGCATTGATTTTTGTCGGACAGATGAGCTAAATACAAGTTGAAGCCAAAATATTCCATGGATGATTACAGCTATTATACATATCCAAAGTCGAGCTTTACGACTTTGAATATTGTCTGAAGTCCATAGAAGAGGTGTTGGACAAGTGAGATTTGTATTGTTAAATATTAATGATTGCATTGTTGTAAGATCCATCTGTAAGAAAAATATATCGTCTATCGCAACGTCAGAGATTTTTTAAAAGAATCTTGTGGAAATTAACTATCGGTAGGAATGTTTTACTTACATCATTTTATAATTACAAAAAAAAGAACTCAATAGTCACGAAAACTTATAATATATAAGTGTCGATACGCATGTGAAGATGAAGGCAGATGAGTGCATAATTTCTAAAATTATTTATTTTCATCAAGTTAAAGCAAAAATTATATGATAATTCACTATCTGTTTTTGAAAAATTTTACATTATTATAGTCGACAATTATGTATGTACCGATTCTAGAAGAAGAAGAGGTTAACTTTTCTTTACAATTTGTCTCTCAACTGAAATGATTCGTGTGTGAAGAACTGATTAAGAAAGATTAACTTAAGACAATTAATCAAACCAATTTCTTAAGATTAAAATGTGAAAGAGTAGATATTATATCCGACACATCAATATAATAATTCAAGACTGGCATTAAAAAAAAAGAGCTTCCATGACCAGAATTTTGACATTTAGCAGAGCAAGTAAAAATTTTACTAATGATTATTGTTAATGATAATCTTAAGAAGGATAAATAAAAGCAAGAACCAGAAAATAAACGCTAAAGTAAAATTAAATAGGAAGGAACGAGAAATATATATAGCAATATCTACGAATATATTACAGAAAACTTAAATTTTATATAAATGAGTAAAACATGAAGCTAATCAACAACTTACTTTTATTGTTTTCTTTTCTGTTTAAAGAAGTTTACATTAATGTAAGATTAGATGTGCAATTTGAAGACAAATTATGGGAATGATAAAATTTCTCAATCTTTATTGATCGTTAAACTCAAGGTAGTCATATAACTAATAGATACTAGCAAAAAAAAACCATAAGAATTCTTTTACTTTCGTATCACTAATCATTGGTAATGGGTTCTATATCTACTGCTTTCAAAAAGCGCATGTTTCTTAATTATTGAGTTCATTGAAATTATCATTACTGTTGTTAAACGATATAAATTAGTCTGTAATTCAAATAATTTTAAAAGTTTTTTTAAAATAATTCTTATTTGAGACACGGTATGAAATATGACCTTCTATTAACTCAATGTTACACATGTTCCAGTTCACGTATTCTCTAGTTTTTAAATAACAAACTCTTCTCATATCTAATATAATATCATTGAGGTGTTTTTGTTAAAATCAATTCATGATGAAGTTATTTAGAGTTTTTTTCCAATTAGCAGTTATCGATATTTGCTTTGTTATTCCTTGCTATTTTAACTATAAGCAACGTAACTGGATCTATATGTATGTACAATATCAGAGTGTATTGAAGATAAAATTGTCAAGTTTAATACGAACAGAACCTAATCTTATGTCATATCATGTAGTTGATATAACTGATCATATATATTTTCTTTTTATTCGAGTACATGATTTTCTTGTTTCTGCAGGTGCTTTAGTATGATATTAAAAAATGAGAAGGGTATAATTGTAATAGCTATTTTTCTAATCACAGGCATGTGACAATCAAGATCACCTAGGGTGAATCACAGTTTAATAAGAAACTCAAAATACAAATACTAATATAGGGAGAATTTTTAGGTGTTTAAAAATTTGTATGGCTTGTAGCTCTTGTGGCGCAATTGGTTAGCGCGTTCGGCTGTTAACCGGAAG